CTTGAAATTTAGGGCAGAACATAGCTGAGAAGCCAGAAAATGGCCAGACAGTATGAGAAGAGGAAGAAGGATGAGCAAGAGGATATAGACAGTAAGTGAGTTGTTGGGTGACATACTTGTTTCTCAGGGATGAAATCACTTGAGATTTTTTAAATATAATTGAAAAAGGGAACTCACCAGCAATGATGTAGATGCATCTAGGGGTAACACTAGAGTAAAGTTCAAACTGAACCGAAGTGGAAAGTATTGACTATTCAACAGGCTCTAGAATTGTAGTCAGAAGACATTGGTAAAGCCAAACTTATCAGCATAAATGAAGAGAGATGGTTATGACAAAAAGATGATGTTCCAGAATAAATGAGACTGCATAAAGAAATTTCATATTTAAAAGACAGACATTAAAAGAATAAGAAACTGGGCCCTCCCTGGTGGCTCAGCGGGTTAAAGCCCAGCACTAAGAAGCTAAAGCCACTTCAGCATGAGTTCAATCCCTGCCCTGGAGATGATCCACATGGTGTGGCAGACCTCTCCTGACCCACCCATTGCTCCCCTCAACAGTGTACTTCATCAGACGGCCTGTTCTGCTCCCACTCGGTCTCTGATGAAATTTCTTACCGCCCTGTACCTCTGGCCTGTACCCCAGTTTTGTATGCATAAATAAATGTATCTTTTAAAAAAAAAGAGTAAGAAACTAAAGTAGGAGAAATAATTTGCAAAAGAGACATAAGATGAAGAACTATTATCCAAAATGGGCAAAGAACTCTTTAAAAAATAATACGATAAATAGTCTAACTGGACAAAAGATCAGAAGAGACTCCTCAACAGAAATATAGATGGAAAATAAGTATACAAAAAGTGCTTAACATACCATTAAGGAATTGCAAATAACAAGAATGAAAAACCACTGTATATTTATTAAAATGGCAAATCCAAACCACTGATAACAAATGTCAGGGAGGGTGTGGCATTATGGGCATTTCTATTCATTATTGATGGAGATGAAACCTTGAAAGAGTGGTGGGAGTTGCTTTAAAAACTAAACATACTTATCACATGAGCAAGAAAGCATGCTTTTTGGTATTTACCCAAAAGAACTGAAAACCTATGTTCATACAAAAATCTACACATGAACATTTTTGGCAGCTTTTCTGGTAAGTGCCAAAATCTTTCAGTATGTGAGTGGATAAATATTCTTTTGTATATCCAGACAAGAGAATCCTTTAGCACTAAGAGCAGTTAACCAATAAAGTAAAAAAAGACACACAAGGTTTTTTGTTAAATTTTTAAAAATTGTATTATTTTGGGCCCTCCCTGGTGGCGCAGCGCGTTAAAGCACAGCACTGAGAATCTAAAGCCACTTCCGCATGAGTTCGATTCCCGCCTGCCCCGGAGATGACCGCATGGCGTGGCAGACCTCTCCTGACCTGCCGGCTGCTCCCCTCAGCAGTGTACTTCGTCGATCTGCCTTGTTCTGTTCTCTGCGCTGTCTCTGGTGAAGCCTCTCACCACCCCTGAGCCTCAAGCCTGCACCACAGTTCTGTATGCACAAATAAATAAATCTTTAAATAAAATAACTGTATTATTTTTATTGAGCCAATATTATATTTACAAAACAAATGGTATAGCATTATGAATAGAATAGAATAAAATTTTTGATGAAAATTGGAAAGTCACGAAACAATCATCTTCTTCAATGATTTTTATTTTGCACAATTTTTAACTCCCAGTAATTTTTATAGTCTCTGGAATTACCTGTAAATAAGCCACTTATGTAGAAATTTTCCAAATAATAACATATATTAATCTGCTCATTTTAAATCATAATTATATTATTAGGACATCAAAAATTTGCTTTAATTTATATGTTAATATTAATATTGGATTGTCTAATAGTAGCATAGCATGCTATATGGGGATATGTTAATAAACATGATACAATTATACTTGAAATTTAGGGCAGAACATAGCTGAGAAGCCAGAAAATGGGCAGACAGTATGAGAAGAGGAAGAAGGATGAGCAAGAGGATATTTCAGCTAAATATAATCTTGTTTAAGTTACTTTCTTCTTTCCAACAATGATATGAAATGGGGGGAAATGATAAATTATTTGTATATCATTTATTAGTACACATCAAATGATGTGTAGCTTGCTTCTTTGGATCACATTTTCTTTTGTTTTTAAAGATTTCTGTGTAGAAGAATTGGGGTATATGCCAGAGGTTCAGGGGGCGAAAGGGGTGGAGTGGTAATGAGAGGATACCCCAGAGACAAAGTGGGAGCAGAAGAGGCAGATCTACTGAAATACATTGCTAAGGGGAGCAATGGACAACACAGGGGAGGTCTCCTGTGCCAAATGTGGGTTAAATCTTGGGCCAGGGATTGAACTCAGGGCCTGGCAATGACAGTACTGAAACTTATCCCCCTATGCCACCAGTGAGCCCATGGATCATATTTCTTATCAGTAGTGACTGTTAATGATAATAGCTTATAAGTGAATATAATTGTAAAATACTCATATCATCAAGGCAGTCTAAAGACAAAATATTGTGCCAGAAAAGCTCAGATAATGACTTAGAAGATTATTCTCCTGGGAGAACAATCTAAAGGAATTCAAAAGAGTACTGAACTCAGAAGATTCTATGACTGAGGCAAAACAAGAAGAGCTACTGGAGAAAGGAGACCAATCCTGAGAGCAATGGAAGAGAAGGTAATGGAATTCAACGCTGTATCTCTGGAGAGAGGTGCCTGGAGACAGGTTCCTACAAGGTGTGGACAATTAAAACTCACCCTCCAGTGCTAGTATTATTTAGTGTGGATGTGAAGCCTAGTGAGCAGAGATACATGTGAGCCAAGTTCCAAGTGAAGAAGACAGTCTAGAATGTTGCTGGTTATCCCCCATCCCTATTTGAACCAATCTTGTGAAGCATTGTGGAAAGCCTTGCTCTCAGACTGTAGAGAGGCAGATCTGGAAAAATAGAGGGTGGCTACCAGTGATACCAGTGGCAAGAGCTGCCCCACATATCATTTTTACCAGTGACAGATTCTTGCAGGAGACTCCACTTAATCCCCAGACGCAGCAGCTGCTAAAAACACAAAATCAACAACTGGCATGTAGAAGTTATGAAAATGTGGAGATGGAAAAATACAGTGACAACATCTTGTGTCCTTAAGGGAATATTTTACCAGAGAAAGAGCAAATCTTCAGAAAAGGTAGAAAACTCAGGAAACGTGATTAAAGGTATACGAAAAAGTTATAAAATAAAGGAACGTTCTGAAAAATAAAATTAATGAGAGGATGGGAATTGAAGATTTAAATAAGAAAATAACGGAGATTCAAAATGTAAGAAGATCAGCAAAAGAGACAAGTGTAGCAAAATCTACACAAAGACATAAACTTAAAATATCTTCCAAAAGTTGAAGACATAGTAGGATTATTAAGGATGACTAAACAGATGAAGTTAACAATCTATAAAAGTACCAATAACAAGCTTACTTATGATTTCCCTGAGGAAACACTACATGTAGGGAGAAAATAGAAAGATACATTGAAAATACGTGCGATAATGCCTACCACTCAAGAATATTATATAAACCATTCACTCAGATATGAAAAGGAAATAAAAGCCTTCTTAGACAAGCAGTAGCTGAAAGTTTGCCAACACTTGATCTCCTATACAAACAAAAGGAATAGTTCTTTAATTTAAATAGGAGAAATATTATATAGATCTTTATAAAAGAATAAGGAAGTGGATAGAACCAGAAAACTAAGAACCAAATTGCAGTAGCAGACTCTCATATATCAATATTCTTCCTAAATGTAAATGAGCTGAACTCACTAATAGAAAGCACAAAGTAGCAGGTTGCACCAATAAACAAAACCCAAAATTGTGCTATCACAAAAATGCAACTTCACTCCAAAGATAACCATACCCTCAAAGTTAAGGAAGGGTAGCAATAAGCAAATGGAAAATAAAGAACAGTAGAGCAAGTCATATCTCTATCTGATAAAATACACTCCCATCTAAAAAAAGGTAAGAAGAGAAAGGGATTGAGATTATATAATGATTAAGAAAACAATACATGAGGAAGACATAATATTCAACAATATATATATTACTGAATGAAGGCATATTAGAATAAATAGGCAATTACTCTTATATGAGAAAATATAGATTGTAGTAACACAACAGCGATTGGATACTCAATAGCTCACTTTAACCAAGGGACAGATTAACAGAAAATAAGCACTTAAACAATAAACTTAAACAAAAATTTAGACCACTTATGCTTAACAGACAGATTTATATAGAACTATAAGACAAAATGTCTTATCATAACATTCTCCACAACAGACAAGATTCTATCACAAAAATGTGTTATTCAAATAATGAAGAATGA